TCTCCCGGAAACGCCAAGAATCCGGCTTTGAAGGGAGTTATTCTCGGGCTGCAGCCCAGACCAAGAGTTTACGCTACAGAACACGTAAGACACGCCTCCCGTGATGCAATGACGCCAGGGAAGGTGCCTTGCGTCAGCCCTGCTCAGGCGTTTGCTGTTCACGCGCTGTACGGAAGCGTGTTGGTCGTTAGGCTCGTGCGCAGTACGGAAGGGTGCCCGGGCAACCGGAAGCCACGGGAAGAGAGCTATGGCGGGTATGAATGTGAGAGATCCAGCGGTAGACCGTTCTCTACGTTCGGTGTTCGGTAAGAGGAATTAGGTATTGCCAAGCATCAGGAAGGGACAGAAAGAGGCAGGGAGCAGCGAGGAACGTCCCCTGCCCATCTTGAATCGCTTTGGGAAGCGGTAATAGGTCAGGGGTACAGCTCTTACCTGCCTTTCTTGTGGGGCGGCCAGGCTGATGGACTCGAGGGTAAAATGATGTTCCCCTTCTCCCGCGGTTTAGCAGCCTTTCCACGATGTGGTTAAGGAAGTTAAACTAGCGTTCAGCTTCTATGCGTTTCTCCTTTCATTGATTTTCTCGCTTCAGTTGTTTTCTAGAAGCGAGGGCGCTTAGCAACGGTCCCATACTACTTTTAATCTATTTTAGAACATATTGTGCCGAGGTTATACTTGACTCCACTTCCACCCTCTTATAAGGGCTTCCATTCTGTGCTTAAAGCCCCTTACATTTTAGTTCGTTGATGGTGGTAGGGGCCACCTGGCGTCTTAAGGTGGATAGTAAATGAATGAATGTATAAACGATTAAGACCTCATCAAAGAAATTTTAAGGAGCGTCGAATCTATTCTAAGTAATCTTCCGAAATAAGTTGTTTTTATGTATGTGTGCTGATTTTAAAGCACTGTTGGAAGGGCCATGGCAAAGCAGTACAGAATAATTTTAAACATCTTCCACTACATCCATGGCCTTTCTCCTTTGTGGTGTGTGTGTGTGAATATGGACATATGAGCCGGTTTTAAAAATTACAGTATAGATTATTTTAGTAGTTATTGATAAGACTTGCAGACCTTCAGGTAAATACCAATGCCTAAGTATTTTCACCAAAGTTAAAGAAAATCTAACTCTAGTCTAATCAGTCTGTGAACTGACATTTAGGCATGTCTACACCTTTTGTATTTAGTCTCAGTGGTTTATTTCTCGTGCAATTAAAGTCAGCAAAAATTGAAATCCTGTCTAAGAGAGTACCATGGAACTGGGATTGGAGGAGCACTGTATTTTGAGCCAGTTGTTATATTTTGCACGATATAAGAAAATACTGTTTATTTTCTTACTAAAGATCTAGGTTACAAACTCAGAATTTTAATGTTATCTATTTTCTTCCTTAGTGGGAAACATTCCATATGAAGCTACTGAAGAGCAGTTAAAGGACATCTTTTCTGAGGTTGGACCCGTTGTTAGTTTCAGGTATGATTCTCTTTTGCTATTTGTAGGAGTTTCTTAAAAATTACCACAAATTTGGCCCTTAGAAATAATGTCAAGGTTTACTGATGATTTTGTACATGCATTCTTCTGGGGTTTTTTTGTTTGTTACAGCTTTATTGAGATGTAGTTCACAGACCATACAATTCACATTCGTTTTTACTAAAAGATACATTTTGGGGAATACAGGCAGCATTCAGAGTTCATACCATTTTCAAGTATGCCCAGGGTTTACTCTCTCCTGGGCCCCTTTTATGTTTCCTATGCACATATGTTCAGCTTTAGCGTCAGCCAGGTATGTGTAACTGGTTCGAGTTTTCTCCAGAATCTGCTGCACATACACACAGTCAAACAAAAAAAAAAGTGCCTTTTCTAACAATGACTACAACCTTAGGCTAGTGGAGTTGTGAGCATTCCCTACCCAACCACCCCTGTGATTGTCACTTCTTCTGACAACACTGCTGGTGTGGACTTTTTCTACCACACCAAATTGAGCAAGCCCCTTCACTGTTGATCCTTTTGACCTGTCCTATCTTGTCAACTGAGCTGAGAGAGGGATTCATTTTTTAAAATGTTTATGAATGTCAATTGTAATTTTAAAATAAAATTTTTCATTGTTTAAAACATAGTTCAGTGAGGCAGTCAGACTGATAGTTACTTGGCTTACAGTTCACCAAATTGGAACATGGCAATGTTTGCAGGATCCCTGTGTGTATGTAACAGTTATGCTTGATACTTGGTTCTGCTCTTCAGGTTGGTATATGATAGGGAGACAGGAAAGCCAAAGGGTTATGGCTTCTGTGAATACCAAGACCAAGAGACAGCACTTAGTGCCATGAGAAACCTGAATGGACGTGAATTCAGTGGAAGAGCGCTTCGAGTGGATAATGCTGCCAGTGAAAAGAACAAAGAAGAACTGAAGAGTGAGTATGAACCCAAGTTAGTAGAGATGTAACAATGAAGATTTTCCATTTATGGTATGTTTTAGCATCTGCTTAAATGGTTATCCACACAGCTTCTTTACTTGACCCACCTGAGGTACCTGCACTGGGGAAGTGTATATCTTTGAGAAACAAGGTAAAGTTGACTTTAGAAGACCTTCAGTTGCTAAGGAGTTAATTCCATTTGAAGATGAATTCAGGCCACCAAGTGATTAGTAGTACTAAATATGTCCTTGGTGTTTTCCACTCCAGTAACTATGTTGCCAGATCTGTAGCTGGTGGAGACGCTAAGGTATTCTTATGGCTTTTTTATGAGGTGGTAGATCCAGAAATTCCATTTTGAAATTAGCATCTTTTTCTGTTTAAACCTTTTGCTTTGGAAATTACTTGTCAAAGGAAATTGATATGCTTAATCCCTAATTTAGGTTAACATTGTTCAACTATATGATCCTAGCCCCAGCTTTACTCTAAGAGCAGGAAATACACTCTGTCACTTTCTTCCACGGAAATGAGAAACTAGCAAATCACATATTTCTCAGCTCCAGAGAATTTAAAGTTATCATCGGATCCTTATAAGTGCTGGAAAGTAGATATTTGAAATGATTTAGCTCTTTATTTTGCCTCTTTAACTTTTTGTACTTTCTTCCCGATCAGGCCTTGGCACTGGTGCCCCTGTCATTGAGTCACCTTATGGAGAGACCATCAGCCCTGAGGATGCCCCTGAGTCCATTAGCAAAGCAGTTGCCAGTCTTCCACCGGAGCAGATGTTTGAGCTGATGAAACAGATGAAGGTGGGAGGAGGCATTAAATTATGAATAAATCCAATCACATCAAATTTTCAAGAGTTATTGATGAAGTAAATGGAAGTGATTCCCTGAGCTCAAGTAGGTGTGCCTATTGACCACCATTTCTTGCACCTTTACTATTTTGTGCAAAGAGCTTCCCATTTTTGTACACAAACCACACCAACATAATCTGGCTGGGTTTTTGTGGCCCATAGATATCAGATGTAGATATTAAAATGTGAATTTTTTCCTAAATGATTGTATTATGGTATTTGAAATGCCTCTTCCTTCTCTTGCCTGCTGTGACAGAATTTTGTGTGCTATGCAAAAACCATTGCATTTCTCTGATGGGAATAATTCTAAGTCACTATTGATTTCTAAGCAATAAGTATTGAACCTGATGATGATTCTGTGTATCTTTTCAGCTTTGTGTCCAGAATAGTCCCCAGGAAGCACGGAACATGTTGCTCCAAAACCCTCAACTGGCTTATGCTTTGCTACAAGCACAGGTAGTGATGAGAATTGTGGATCCAGAGATCGCCCTGGTGAGTGCTACTGGTTCTTTTGTGGAAATACTGAGGTAAACCTTGAGAGGGGTAGGAACTACTTGATTGTTTTGTTAAACAGACAGTTCATAGATTTGTCTTTTTACTTTTTAGAAAATTCTGCATCGACAGACAAATATCCCAACACTGATGGCAGGCAATCCTCAGCCAGTCCACAGTGCTGGGCCTCCCTCAGGAGCCGGTGTGCCAATGAACCAGCAGAATCCTCAGGCTCCTGGGGCCCAGCCTATGGTATGTCTTTACCCTTTAACGTTTCTTTTATCTGTCTTAGAATGTCATTTTCTTTTTAGGAGGATATATTGAAAGAAGAATGGACCAGAGCCAGAGATGGTAATTTCAATTTCCAGGCATAAAGGCAGTTTCCAGGTTGCAGACTATGTGGCATCTGAATGAATATAGATTTGATGCCAAGTTCGTAAACAAAGAAGTCCTTCTTGTACACCCCTTTTATAAGCTAATTTTGTGTGTCTATGCATGGATAACACTGTGGTTGGTACTTTGTTATTTTATATACACTGTATAATTTAATACTTTATTTAATACAGTGATTATATGAGGTGGCACTCTTATTATCTCCATTCTTACCAATGAAAAAAGTAAAAACCTAGCTTTCTAAGTGTTACACAAAACCCTGAAGCCATAGAAAATCAGTACATTTGAAAACTGAAAAAATTCTTTATGGAGGAAAAGAAATAAATACCAAAGGCAGATGACAAATTGGGAAAAAATATTTGCCACACGTGTGAACAACAGGGTTATTATTTAAGAGCCTTTAATCATCTTGAAGCATGTTTGTTGCCACAGTATAACAGTGAACAATTAGAAACATTCTAAATGTACATCAGCAAAAGAATGAAGAAAATATGATATACTCTGCAACAGTTAAACTATATTTGTCACAATGAATGACTTTCAAAAACAATTTTATACAGCAGTTAAGATGAACTAGGATACATGGTATCAACACAGATAACTTAAAAACAAATACAGAAGTGGAAATAAGTGAATGTGAAAGCATTCCCAAAATATGGGATACATGTATCTGCATATATCCCAAATATATGTTGAGTGAGTTACAAAGACTATGTTCAGTATATAATTTACAAAACATTTCAGAACACCAGTAAGACTTCTGAAGTGGCTAAGAAAGCGACACAGGGTGCAGTTAAGGAGGACCATATGGGATACTTCAGTTGTGTATATAATTTATTTCCTAAGCTGTGTAGTTAATTTTATTAACCATATAATTTATATATCTGGAATTTTTCATGATACTCTAAGAGCAGAAAATACACTCTTGTCACTTTCTTCCACAGAAATAAGAAACTAGCAAATCACATATTTCTCAGCTCCAGAGAATTTAAAGTTATCATTAGATCCTTATAAGTGCTGGAAAGTAGATATTTCCAGCACTTATAAGGATCTAAAACTAGTAATAAAATTACCAATGACTCAGTAGAAAAGTTTGCAATGGACATAAACAGTTCACGAAAGTGGAAATACAAATATGTATTAAACATATGGGAAAGTGTTCAACCTCAAAAAAAAAAGGAAATGTAAACAGAAAGTACAAAAATCTAACGTTTTTTACCTATCAGATTGACAGAGGCAAACCACTTACGTAGATGATACAGAGGTTTAAGGCGGGAGTCAGCAAACATTTGTAAATGGGCCAGTAGTAAATATTTTTGGCTTTGCAGGCCATGGAATCTCTCCTAACTACTCAACTCTGCCATTGGAGTTTGAAATCAGCCATAGACAATACTTAAACAAATGTGCGTGGTTGTGTTCCAATAAAACTTTATTTATGAAATGAGGCAGCAAGCCAGATTTGGCTCATGGGCCATAGTTTGCTAACCCCTACTGTAATTAAACATTTTTTCAGAAATACAATGAAATTAATTAAGACCCAGAGAGGTTAACTGGTCCAAAAATAGCATAAGTGGCACATCCAGGATCTAAACCTGGTTCTGTGTGGCCTCATAACCTGTTTTAATACAGTGTTCTGTTTGAGAGTTTTGTTTGTGTTCTCTGAGAGTATATGTGATTTTTAAAAAATATAACTTAGTTTTTACTCTTTCTTTATTAAGCTCTTTCTATTCCAAAGGACTGCTCACTTCTTTGGGGAATATATAAATGAAAACAATCCCTTTCCCTCCAGGAGCTTTAATGTAGCTTTAAAAAATTAATATTCCCCCCAAACCAGAATTATATCTCAGGACAGGGATGAGAAAACATTGGTCAGATTTTTAAAATTTCATCTTAAAAATTCAGAGTGCCAGCAGTTTCTTTATAAAAATGTCCTAGTCTCCTAGGCACCTTTTTTTTTTTTACTCTTGTTGCTAGGTCCCAGTCGTGAAGTCAACCATAGGTGCTACATGTAGCCTCAACACACAAATAAGTTTTGTCAGTCTTGGCTTTTAGAATACGGTCCATCTTAACTGTATTATAACCAGGCTTTTCATGTGTATTGCATATTCTGTTCAAAGTTTGCATGAGACATGCTATACAAAAAGGATTCTTGGTAGAATATTTGGGTTATCAGCTTGAAGAGTTCTTTAAGGTCATAGACTTTGTGTGTTGAGTCTCCACTGAGATGTCTACATACTCTGATTTTTCTCCTGGTCAGGGTGGCATGCATGTCAATGGTGCACCTCCTTTGATGCAAGCTTCTATGCAGGCTGGAGTTCCAGCACCAGGACAAATACCAACTGCTGTAACAGGACCTGGCCCTGGTGCCTTAGCTCCCGGTGGTATGTTGCATTTAGAGTCTTCACCATTTTGGTATTTTGCTAAAGTTTTTTTATTGCAAATGGGATAGATCTTGATATAAAATTAATACACAACCAGGAAATATATCTCCTAGGTCAGTGGTCGGCAAACCGCGGCTCACGAGCCACATACGGCTCTTTGGCCCCTTGAGTGTGGCTCTTCCACAAAGTACCATGTGTGGGCGCACACAGACAGTGCCATTGAAACTTTGTGGCCCATGTGCAGAAGTCAGTTTTCGGCCTGGGCAAGTCTATTTTGAAGAAGTGGCGTTAGAAGAAGTGGGGGGTGTCAGTCGGGCCACGGGAGGCGAGCGCAATTCATGCACGAGTTGAGTGAGCCAGTCAGCAATCTCATTGTGCAGTGGTTAGTGCTAGTCGCGTTTGCAAATCGCGTGCAGGTGACAAAAGTAAAGTTTATTAAGTTAATTGGGGTTGACCTCAACGAACGTACCTCAGTCAGATTGAGGACGTTTTTAGCAAAGGCCAGCTTAGGAGTACCCTAATTAAGTTAATAACAATGTACCTACCTAGATAGTTTAAGTTTAAAAAATTTGGCTCTCAAAAGAAATTTCAATTGTTGTACTGTTGATATTTGCCTCTGTTGACTAATGAGTTTGCCGACCACTGTCCTAGGTGGAAGAAATAATTGATTTCTTATATACAGATCTTATGAGAGCAGGGAAAAGGACAGTAAAGAGGAAAGGTACAGTAAAACTTCCAAATTAATAAAAGGAAAATTGGAATGAATGGAAACTAGAGCAAGCCAGCAAATACAGAGAAAAATAAAATGATATTGTGAAGTAAGTAATAATAAAAGTAGAGTAAGGGGGAAGGAATAAAATCTTGTATAGTCATTATTCTACTAAATGTGAATGGATTGAATTCTTCCATTAGAAATCAGAGACTGTTAGATTAGGGTAAAAACATAATGGGGAAAAAAACACAGAATACATGGACATATTTCTTCTTATTTAACAGACATAAAATCCCATTTCATTAAATATGATCAGACCAGGCCATGGCTGGGTAGCTCAGTTGGTTAGAGTATCCTCCTGATACACCTAGGTTGTGCATTCCATCTCTGGTCAGGGCACATACAGGAATCAAATAATGAATCAAATAAATAATGGAACAACAAATTGATGTTTCTCAGTCTGTCTCTTCCTCTCTTTCTAAAATTAATAAATATAATCAGACCAAAGAACAAAAGGAAAAAAGAATTTTAAAAACTTAATTTGTTCATTGAAATTGTATATATAGGAATTAATATAGTATTGCTGTTACTTTTGTAGATTTTCATCATTCAGTAATTGTAACTAAAGGTATGCATGAAATCGAGATTCCCTATGTGAAACACCTGTATGAACACATACTGTATATCAATATTAAAAGTTTTTTTAAAGCAATCTTCTTATTAATTTATCTAATCTGGGTTAGATTGCGTCACTACTCATGGGGGATAATTTGAATCTAAATCATTCTGTTTTGTACAGAGACAAGTGGACAAAGGACAGAAGAAGGGATTTTTAAAGAAATTTCAGCAACCCACAATTTTCATTTATCCTATAACAATGATGGCGAACCTATGACACACGTGTCAGAGGTGACAAGCGAACTCATTTTTTTGGTTGATTTTTCTTTGTGACACGGCACCAGAGTTAAGTTAGGATTTTTCAAAATGCTGACACGCCGAGCTCAAAAGGTTCGCCATCACTGTCCTATAATGTTACAGTTAAATTTAAATTATCTTTCAGTGACAAAAATAGATCCTGTATTTTATATATTATGAATTGTAAGTGAATAATTTACCTTAAAATAGTTGTAATATGGTCCTACTACACCTGACAAGTCTGCAAGCCATGACATATGCAGCTCATTACGAGTTGAAAATCATCCAAATACTCTGAGCCAAGTGTGACGACCATGCACTCAGATGTTACAGCAATGTCACATTGCTATAAAGGTTTCTAAGTGACTGCTCTCCATTTCTATACTTACATTGTCATGAACTGTTAACACAGAATGTGGATCGACATTGTCTGTGGACCACACTTTGAGTAGCATTGTGTTAGTGGACAAAAAATAAGTAAGGATGTAAGGGAATAAAATAATGGAATCAATAAGCTTGATATAATATATAGAAGGTGCCTTATATCTTTTGACTGCAGAATGCACACTTCCCCCTCCCCCCCGAAATGACCATGGCACAGTAAAGAAAAAAACTTGGCCATGTACTTAGCCATAAAATAAAAACAAATTTTAAAATACAGAGATTTTACAGGCTGTGTTCTCTGATTTAAGCCAATAAAACTAAAAATAAATAAATAAATAAATGGTGACTGGAAAAAACTTGTACTAGGAACATACTCTAGGTAATTCTTGAATTAAAGAAAAAAGTAGAAATTTATAAATTATCTAAAAGAACAAAAAGTAGTACACTTCATATAAAAAACTATGGGAAATAATAAAAGTGGTATGCAAGGAAATGAATATCCTTAAATGCCTATATTATTAAAGAATAAGTGAATCTTAAGTCCTAGTTTTAAAGAATTAGAAAAATAATTTTTAAAAAAGATATCAAGAAGAGGGAATTAAGTTAAGAGTAAATGAATTTCCAAGTGATGTTTTTGGTGAGTGTATAGCATTTATACTTATGAAGTTATTAAAACTTAAAACTACTAAGATTTTTGAGGTACCCTTACAAAGCTCTTTGACAGTTCATGAGAAGCGAGAATAACCTACTAGGAAAGTAGGCAAAGAAAATGAATAGGCACTTCATAGAAGAGCAAATCCAAATGGCAATAAGAACAAATTCATTTATAGTCGGGACTGCAAGTTAAATAGCAGGATTTTGCTTTACTTAAACCCATCCAACCAGCAAAAGTTTCAAAGAGAGATGACACTCTTGATGGGGAATGTGGTATCATTAATTACATTGCTGCCAGAAAGGTGAAGTTTTTCCACCTTTTAAGAAAGTCGCACATTAAAGATTCATATACACTTTGACCCACCAATTCCACTTCTGAGAAGCAAGTGATACAATAAAAGTGCCGTTATGTGATCATTTATAACATGAGAAATGATGCCCATAATTCTTTCTGCCACCACTTTCTTCAGATAGTTATCTTTGTATTGTTTTGGTGAGTGGTCTGAATAAATCATAAAATGTTATGGCTGTAAGACAGCTCTGAAATCAATTTGACCTGTGATTCTCAAACTTAGTTTGAAGTTGAATCACCAAAAAAGCTTATTAAAGCACAAATTGCAGGTCCCCACCTCCAGACTCTAATTCAGCAGGTCCGAGGTAGGGCCCTGAATATTTGCAGTTCTGACAAGTCCCTGGTGATGCTGATGCTACTTGTCTGAGGACTATACTCTAAGAACCACACTGGTGTAGGCCAACTCCTTCACTTTACATATGGGGAAGCCTGGATATACATTAATTTCATCAAATAACTTGTTCATAATCACACTTAGTAGCAGGGCTTGGCCTAGCACCAGTTCAGGTATTTTGTATCCATGGCTCTTTGATGCCTGGTATGTTAAATGGAATAAGAGAATGTGAAGTGTACTTGATATTTTAGGTAAGTACTAATGACTGCAAATAGTTGAGCTTGTCTATTTTCCCCACTTGCAGCATATGTTGTTCTTTTGAGGACAAGAGAAGAATTTCTATGTGGAAAGGGCCAGACAAGGACTTGTGGTAAATGATTATTTTTTGTATAGCAGTTATCATACTGTTATCATACTGGTTAGAATAGACCAGTGGTTCTCAATTCTATCTTTGGCCCCTTTTCCTAATAGATACATTGCAGTGACTCTTTAATATCCTGAAGTGAAATGCACAGAACATATAACCTACCTAACATGATTTCAAAAAATAAAATAAAATCAGTATAATGTCCTAAGCATAACATAAAGGATAAGATAAAATATACTAATTTATAACAAAATTTTTAAAAAATATATTTTATTGATTTTTTACAGAGAGGAAGGGAGAGGGATAGAGAGTTAGAAACATCGATGAGAGAGAAACATCAATCAGCTGCCTCCTGGACACCCCCCAGTGGGGATGTGCCCGCAAACAAGGTACATGCCCTTGACCGAATCGAACCTGGGACCCTTCAGTCTGCAGGCTGACGCTCTATCCACTGAGCCAAACCAGTTAGGGCAACAAAATATTTTTAATATACAATTATTCGGACAAAACTATACTAGAAAGCAAAAGGTAGTAGTCAGATGCTTGCACCTATATCATGAATGTTAAAGCTACAAATGTAGACAGATACAGGTATGTCTTTCTGACAAATACCAGAAGTACTTTGACATCAGTGATGGGATTTTCTGAAATGGAGAAAACTCTTGGTAAAGTTCTGTTTGTTTGTTTGTTTGTTTTTAATCCTCACCCAAGAATTTGTTTTTATTAACTTTAGGGAGCGAGAGGAAAACCATTGATGTGAGAGAGAAATATTGATGGGTTGCCTCCCATACGCACCCTGATCAGGGGATCGAACCTGCAACCCAGGTATGTGCCCTGACCGGGAAGCAAACCCAAGACCCTTCAGTGCATAGGACTATGCTCCAACCAACTGAGCCATCAGGCCAGGGCTCTTGGTAAAGTCCTAACAAAACAAAATATAGTGCCCATAATTTACTCAGTAACTTCATTTCTGAATTTCTGGAAAATATAACACAAATATATAAATAGGGCAAAGGACCTTTTTGTTTACAAATAAAACAGACTTGGGTTTTGAGTTCTGATGACCATAAACAGATATTCATTTGTGTGAATGTTCAAGACATTTGAAAGTTTGCAAGACAGGGTAAATCTTTTGTTTGTTTTGTTAATTTTCACCTGATGATATTTTTTCCATTGATTTTTTTTTTAGAGAGAGTCGGAGGGAGAGGGAGGGGGGGAAGGGGGCTTCTGAGGACATTTTTTTTCATTGATTTTTAGAGAGAGTGGAAGGGGGTTGGGGGGGGGAGAGAGAGAAAGAGAGAGACAGAAACAGGGATGAGAGAGACACAGTGATTGGTTGCCTCCTGCACACGCATGGCAGGGTAATTCTTTTTTTTTAAAATATTTTTTATTGATTTCAGAGAGGAAGGGAGAGGGAGAGAGAGATAATCATTAATTGGCTGCCTCCTGCATGCCTCCTACTGGAGATTAATTCACTTTTCTGTCACTGAAGCTTAACAAATTCCCATCTTCTATATAACTACATTGTTTGATGGTAGTTACCTGCCTTTTTAGGTTTCTGTCTGTGAGGCAAAAAGAGGATATTTGTTAACTCAGCCACCGTGCTAATTGTTTCCCCACTGTTGTAGTTTGTGTTTTCTTTCTTGCCCTTTATGTTCTAGGAGGGATGCCGGCCCAGGTTGGAATGCCAGGAAGTGGACCAGTGCCCATGGAACGAGCACAAGGTAAATAGGTAGTAATATCTGATTAATGTGGACTGGACTTGGAAATGTTCTATATCTGCACTAAGATGGCAATGTGGCAGCCACTATCCACATATACTTCAACATATTTGAATGTTAAAGTAATTTCAATTAAATTGTAATTACGTAAAATCTAAAATTCAGTTCCATATTACAACTGCTCAATGGCCACATGGGGCTAGTGGATACCCTAATGGATATTACAGATACAGATAATTTGTATCATTGCAGAAAATTCAATTTGACACCTCTGGTCTGTACTTTCCATCTAGTGATTCAGAACCCAGCTCTACAAGAATTGATGAAGCAAAGGATCCTTTGTTGACATTTAATTCATATCACCTTTTCCTGATAGTCTATAATGATTCTACTGACATGTTTGCTCTTCCTCTATGGATATCTGTTGATTGAGTAAGGAATGTTAATGAGCATGTAATGTGTGGCTGATTATGTAGAAGACTAAATTGAAACCCCAGAGAATACTGGGAGGGGCCCAAAGGTCTGTGATATCTACTTGATGGCAGTAACACTGGATACCACAGTATTAAGCACTATGAAATCTCCACATTAATTCTCTATGTTACTAGAGTTTGAAGAAAAAGAAAATGCAGTGGTTCAGTTAAAAACAACATTAGGAGGAGAGATAGTGAGAAAACAGGGAGCTAACAATAAAATTGAGTGCATACTATAGGTCAGGCACTTTAATTTTTATAAACAACCTTGTGAGTTAGGTAGCAGCACTTCAGTTTTCACGTAAAGAGATGGAAGCTCAGAGTTTTGAATCCCTTACTGAAGGGGACATGGTAAGTAAATACCGATATCTGAGTCACATGGACTGGACTTGGGGCACTCATCTTCTCTTCCAGCTAGTAAGTGACAGAGCTAAGATTCTAAAGTCTCTGATCCTAGAATCCTCTTTTTGTCAATCCTTACCACCTCTATGAACTTCCAAAATATTTTCTTTGGACAAGCATAGAGAAGCTGAAGTTATTCTTAGCATGTGGCCTATAAGCAAAACCTATTTTTAAGCAAAATATTAAGAAATAGGACTATATACTTACTCCTTGTCTATATACACTGGGGTTGGTTACTGAAGTGACAACTAATAAACTTGTCAGATGGTTGATAGTAGGACAAGCTCTTGGCTAAATACTTCATCTGAGTATTCCATGCTTTTGTGCAATTGTGCCCCACCCCCATCAGCTAATCAATAGATTGTGTATAAACCTTAAGTATTTTTGCAGTAGTTTGAAGGAATTGGGGTTTTAGTCATACTTTTACCTCCGCCAAGCCATAATTCAAGCTATAGCTTTTTAATATATACTTCCACAAGACATCTTCCTTTCTGCTATAGTTATCTTCATTTTTCTGGTCAAAAGTTAACAGGGAAATGGCTCGAGTTTTGAAGGCATCTCAAGGCTGTCTTCATGAAGAGAGAAAGTGAGATGAGTTTCCCTTCATGGTTTTCCTTCAGTATCCAGCAGAGGAAGCAAGAATCTTTCCATTTATACCTAGTTTGTCTTTTCCTGTTTCTTTGGCACATTTATAATGGTGAAAGGAGACCGTGAGATGTTTAAGAAGATACTTCCTCATGCCTTCTGCCACCTTTGTTTAGTGTTAGTGCTTTTGTCATCTCATTAGTCTTTGTTTGCTGTTGTCATGGTGTTTGTTTATAATGAAAGACTTGCAGTGACAGAGTATGTCTTGAGGAATGATACTTTCTTTCCTTGTCTAAAGATCATTTACTGTATTTCCCCATTTGGTACTTCTGTTATGGGCCTCTCCAGAATAAATCTTGCCTTCACATTCAGTATAAGTTATTTTATTTTTTACATATGAAATATGTTTATACTCTTTACCTAAATAGAAATTCAAAACCATCCTTTTTATATTTTCTTTTCTAAGGAGATTTAGGGGGAATCATAGTAGCAGAGGTAAAAATGGAAAGTGGCTGGTTAAACCTGCCCCAGTAAAATCAGTGTCCCACAGGCTTCGGCTTTGGAAGCAGTCTGATGAAAGCAGAACCAAAGATGCTAACATAGTTTAGGAAGATTTTATAGCCTAGGCAAACTAATGAACTCTTGACTTTTTAACTCACACATATAAATCTCCAGTGTCTGTATGTGTATGTCTCTGCATGCATGTTCAAGCTATTTTAAGTGTCTGCTCTTTCTCCTTTTCAACTTACTGCTTACCTAGGAACCCTACAGCACTCGCCTGTGGGACCCGCCGGGCCTGCATCAATTGAGCGAGTTCAAGGTACCCATTGTATCTGTGGGTTTCCTTTTGCTTGTGTGTTCAGGGTGGGACATTGAGAGGACAAGGGCTGCTTGTCAGTCATCCTCACATTCAGAACCCAAAAGGGTAGTGTTTTGGGTTTTTGTTTTTAAATTTTTTCCTGTTGGGGCCACAAGCCTAAGATTGACCTCTTCACACAGGGCAGGGAACATGGATGATATGGGCATCTGTCTGAGGCTGTACTCCCTCCCTACTGGTGTCAGGAGGCTTGGATGGAATAGCAGTCTGTAAGGAGACAGCAGGTTCTTGCAGAGCCATGGCAGTGTTCACATATTCCGAGACCCTACCTCTTTTTTGTGACTCTGGTCCTTGAACTAGGGTTGATTATGAGGAAAACCATAAGTTTCTTCAGGTTTCAGTACTAGTCCTTGGCAGGTTCCTCCCCAGTTTGCTCTTTATATAATTCCATCCATACCTCTGACATGGCACAGATTCTGCTTACACCCTGCTTCTGTTCTTGAACTGCAAGAGGAGTCTTCTGTGGTGAGGTTTCACCCGCTCTAAGGTGTCTGAATTATGTTGTCAGTGGTGTATAGAGTCATTTCTTGTTTCCTTGTGTCCTTCACAGCAGTAACTCCCCATTTGTTTCCCTATCAGTGCCGATGCAAGATCCCAGAGCAGCTATGCAGCGTGGGCCCTTGCCTGCCAACGTCCCAACTCCTCGAGGTCTGTTAGGAGATGCTCCAAATGACCCACGTGGGGGCACTTTACTTTCTGTAACTGGAGAGGTAGAGCCTAGGTAAGCAATGACACAGAAGGAAAAGCTTAGAGGAATCAGAATTTTCCCTTGCTTTGAGAACAAAGTCTTTCCATACCAGTTATGCTTCTTGGCTGCTATTCAAGACTAAGCACTTCTCCTTGGACAGAACTGTGTACTTGAGTATGTCATTTTGAACTAACCATGACAACTTGCATCTTCAGAAATTAGAAATTCTAGCATACATACCCAGGCCAGAAAAACTTATATTGCTTATTAGTAGTAGTAATATTAATAATGGCAGTAATAATCATACTAAAACAATTTATATTCATGAGAATTATGCCTCTGACTCTACTTTGAGTACTGAATTTGGATCATCTCATTAAATCCACGTGAACCTGTAAGGTTGATATAGTATCAGTCCCATTTTACAGATGAAGAAGCCAAGGCATGGAGAAGTTAAGTAAATGGGCCCAAGATCACACAGCTAATAAGTGATGGAGCCTAGATTTGAGCCCATATGATAACAGTGTTCTTAAGCACTATACTGCATACTCATTATATATAATGGATATCCACTTTAAGTCCTCTTTAATTATGAGTACCCTGACCAAATATGAAATTCTAGAATATGTTGATTTATATCTCTATAGCTTTTTTTTCAATCTGTTTGGTGTTATTCTCTTAGCATTCATAGACTGGTGTTTATATAAGTTCTTTGTCTGATTTTTATTTACTGATCTTCTGGTTGATACTTTTGTCTTATTTTTAGGTTCTGTTTTAAAATAAAATAATTTTTTCCATCTGTAGAGGTTACCTGGGACCACCTCATCAGGGTCCACCCATGCACCATGTCCCTGGCCATGACAATCGTGGCCCGCCCCCACATGAGATGAGGGGAGGGCCATTAGCCGAGCCCAGACCTCTAATGGCAGAGCCAAGAGGACCCATGCTAGATCAGAGAGGTCCACCCTTGGATGGCAGAGGTAAGGGCAGACCACATCACAACATTGACAGGTAGTTGTGGGTTGATGATAAAGCCAGCTATCTTGGGCTCTAATCTGGGATAAAGAATGCTGGGGTAATAGGGTTAGCAGGCATTTTTAAGTTTTATCTGCAAATCTGAGAAATGGGAGGAGAAAGCAGTCTCCTGTAATTGGGGCGGGGGAAATGTGGCTAGAGGAATTGATTTCTGTCTTTCTTAGGTTGTTGATTCTTCTTGCAGTAAAGGTGAATAGCTACACAGTGGTTTTTCTTGGACCTTACTTTATAGGTGGAAGAGATCCCCGAGGCATGGACGCACGAGGGATGGAGGCACGAGCCATGGAGGCAAGAGGATTAGATGCCAGAGGATTGGAGGCCCGTGCAATGGAGGCACGTGCAATGGAAGCCCGTGCGATGGAGGCCCGTGCGATGGAGGCCCGTGCAATGGAAGTCAGGGGGATGGAGGTCAGAAGCATGGATCCAAGGGGCCCAGTCCCTGGCCCTAGAGGCCCTATACCTAGTGGAATCCAGGGTCCCAATCCAATTAACATGGGGGCAGTTGGCCCCCAGGGATCCAGACAGGTATGTATGACACATTCACTTCTGGCTTCTATGTGAAATCTTGATCTATTCTGAAACTGATTATTGAGCCTGATTATTACTGCTTTATTTGATTTGGGCTATTTCACAGCTTGTTAGAAAGGGAAGATTAGAATCTCCCTTCCTGTAGTTTCTCTGTCCCTTAGGATAGTGATTTCTGATTAACAGGATTATAGTCCAAGAGAGCAACCTTGTCTCACAATTTCAGGAGCTTTTTCATTCAGAGCAGATAAAGAGTATATCTGGGACTTGGCTGGGTAGCTCAGTTGATTAGAACATTGTCCCAATACGCCAAGGTTGAGGGTTTACTCTCCGGTCAGGGCACATACAAGAATCAACCAATGAATGCATAATAAGTGGAACAACAAATCCCCCTCTCTTCTCCCTCTTCCCACCCCCCCCTCTCCCTCTCTCCCTTTCTAAAAATCTTTAAATTAAAAAAAAATATTTTTAAAAGATCATATCCATAGAATCTAGACATGGGTCATTTGAAAAACTCCTAAACGATTCTAATGCACAACCCTTAAGAGCCACTGCACTAAAGTGTATGAAGAGTTCTTAGTGGTCATTTAGATAATCTTCGGTTTGCAGAAACCTGTTTTAATTTTCTTTCATTGCATAGCCTAAGTGAACAGTGAGTATGAAAGGCAGTTTACTAATGCTCACCTTAAAACCTGTGGAACTGAATTTTTACCTCTGCTTTCTTTTTTGTCTCCACCTATGAGAGCATATGTTTGTCTTTGATTGTGTGTTGTCATCTCCTCCCTCTTCACCCCAGTTGGTTGTGTGATGGTGTTTTTCTTCCCTGAGTTTTTATATGCTAGAACCTTCATCTCACTCTAGCCCCTACCCCATTCTTTTTCCTATATGTGTCTTCCTCCTTTCTCTACGTAGTTCTGTCTCTCTTTTCCCTTTCATATGCTTCTGTGCGTTCCTCCCCTCCTCTGTGAGTGTGTGTATGAGAGAGAGAGAGAGAGAGAGAGAGAGAGAGAGAGAGAGAGAGAGAGACTGAGACTCAGAAGTAGGCATGTCTTCTTGTTCCTTTGTGCCCAGGGATAACAAGAAATCAGCCAGTGAGAGAATGTGTCAGAACTAATGGAACATGTCAGTCATCCAGTTCTCTCATTTTGTAGGTTTGGAAACTGAAACCCAAGAATTCAGGTGACTTACCTAAATTCACACAGCTAAAAAGTGGCAGAGCAAAGAATAGGATCCCCTATTTTTTCTCAAGTTGTATTTTTTAAAAATGTGTTCATGGACCTCGATGTTTACTGTGCCCTCTATGGTCAGTAGCCTCATAATAAAAATGATTTTATGTTCTCTCATTTTGTAGGTTTGGAAACTGAAACCCAAGAATTCAGGTGACTTACCTAAATTCACACAGCTAAAAAGTGGCAGAGCAAAGAATAGGATCCCCTATTTTTTCTCAAGTTGTATTTTTTAAAAATGTGTTCATGGACCTCGATGTTTACTGTGCCCTCTATGGTCAGTAGCCTCATAATAAAAATGATTTTATGTGTTCATTCAGTCATCCAACAAATATTTATTGAGCACCTACTCTGTACCAAAGAGAACTACAGGTAATAAGGATATAGCATTGTGAAAAAAGAAGTCCCTGTTCTTATGGACTTCCATTCTAGTTGGGGAGACAGACAGCAAATAACTACATGATGTGTTTAGATAATTCTGTCGATAATTCTGTGGAGAAAGACACTGAAAATAGTGGTTGGAAGACTGTTTCTAGATGATGTCTTGCTTCGTTATCTCTGCTAGTGGTTGAAATCATTATTCTGTAATATTAGACTTATATCGTTTCCATTAGTAGATTCTATAAAGCTAATTAGATGAGGTAGTGAAAATAAAAATTTTATGTTCTAACCTTTTTAAAAATGGTTTGAGTCCATGTGAACATGTATAATTAAATATCTAAAATACATTCACTCATATATAATAGATATACAATAAGAACCTCACTTCTTCCCCTGTACCTGTCTCCCCTGTGACCCCCATCTCCTATAGATAATTGCTTTTATTATATTTTTAATGTATCATTCTAGCAACTAATATATATTATTTTTTCAAATATGAATATACATATATATTTTTTCCTTTTGCTGTTCTGTGCCTTGTTTTTTACTTAACAGTATATCCTTAATTGAGCATTTTAAATCAGATTTTAAAATTACCTCCATTACACGTAAATTGGAAAGTCATCAGTAAAAGGATTATTATTGCTGGAGGAATTATATAACTTCTCATCAAACAGGGACACATTTGAGAGTGAGAGTGCTGTCAGTATTTACTTTGACAGAAGCATAAACTGGGACTGTCTTGGGCAAACCTAGATGTGTAGTCACCCATATTATTGCCTGCCTGGAATAGGTGCTCCTGGAAACTTTACATGGCAATTAGTGAATGATTAGATCACATTACAATACTTCAAATTAGTATTGACTGAAGCTTCAGAAAGGTTATTCTTGAAGATGTTTCAGGTCTATAACAGATTATGAAACTTCAGACTCATCTGCGGATTCAGTATCACTAAAGACCAGGAAGTGATAATATTTTAGCAATTTGTATAAAGTCATACTAATGCTTCATCTCTCTAGTGTCTAGTGAGTTAATGTATGTAAATGAATGTTGTAGATAATAGAACTATTCTACCAAATTTTTAACTAGTCAAATGAAAAGTAACTTTGTGTATTATGCTTCCTTCCTTTCTTAAACAAAATACAAAAACTTATTTTAATCATTTTGACTACTCAAGGGCACCATTAAATGTAGCCATTATTGTACATGCTGTAATAGAAAGCAGAGTTATTTCCTGTTTGGTTTCTAGTTTCCTTCACTGTCAGGCTGTCACCTGGCTCCTCATATTGCTGTTGTGGTATCTGCTCCTTACAGTCTGTCATTTCTTCTATGCTTTGCTGCTTCTAATCTGCTGGGGAAGCAGGTAACAAGTTTGCTAACAATTATGTTTAATAAGAGTACCTAAACTCTAGGTGAATGCCTGAATGTAAACATAACTTCAGCATAGGGATTATTTAAGTTATTCTAGGTGCTCTGATGCTGGGGTCCAACCCCAGCAGGTCCAGGGGCCCCCAAAGGTGTGGACGGAGTCGGCGAAGAAGGAATGACACGGAGACAGCGTTCAGTTGATCAGCAGCCTTGCCAGGATCTCTAGCCACAATCTCCAGCCAAGTTCTGTGTCCATGCTCTCTTGCTAGGTTCTCCAGCCAGGTTCTCCAGGTTCTCCAGCCAGGTTCTGTAGCCATGTTCTCTCGTTAGGTTCTCCAGCCAGGTTCGGTCGCCAGGTTCTGTAGCCGGGTTCTTCAGCCGGTTTCTGTCTAGGTTCTCCAACCAAGTTCTGTAGCCAGGTATTAATTACCTGCCTGGCAGTTAAGAGGTTTTATTCCCTCCCTAACTTCAGGGGAAAATCCCTACCTGGGGAAACAACCTTTCTCAGAGAGGTGACCTTGGTTAAAACACATAGTGCCAAGAAGGTGACCAAACATATTAAGAACAGTATGCCAAATATGCCAGGTCCCTTGAAACAGCAAGGATGGACCGGCTCCCGGCACTCTGAGGCCTATTCCTGGGTTCTGGTAGTTTTCAAAGATTGAACTCACCAAAGATCTTAAATATCAATAAGTATGTTATAATTGCACTTTGTTCTTTTAATTTGGGTCAGTCATACATATTTCTTGGTGTGCATTTAGCATCTGCTGCATATTCTCTCTGGAAAGTTACAAAAAAACAAATGTTGGGCTAATAGCAGCCTTCTCCCCAGAGGCCTTCCCATCTCCTTTCTGCCTCTGCCATTAGGATCGTCTCTGCCTTACTTGTGGGATAGGGCCCTTTGGGATGAACAACCTATGTCTGATTGAACTAGAGGTAGGCGGTATCCCTGTGAATGTAGCTTCCCCAGTGGACCAGCATCCATTATCTCTAAAATCTGTCAGCTTTCATTTCTGTTTCCACTGAACACTACTTTCCAGGATGCTCTGTTTTCTCTGTGCTTATGTGGCTGAATTTTGCTTGATTTGATGGTATCCAGTTGTGCTATGTGGTATTTGTTGATGCTGGAGCTGTTGTAAGCAAATGTATCTAACATGTTAATTGACCTCTGCCTAAACCCTGCCTTCTGCCATTGCTAGCAGTAGGAAATGATCTTAAGAAACATTAATTTGCTTTTCTTACTCATATCCATACTCAGATCATATTTTTAAACATTGCTGTTACTGGATTCTGTCTGCCTATATGAGACATTGCAAAAATCTCTTTCCTCCTCTCTCTTTGTGCACGTAGGTCCCAGTCATGCAGGGGGCAGGCATGCAAGGAGCCAGTATGCAGGGTGGAGGCCAGCCTGGTGGCTTTAGTCCTGGCCAGAACCAAGTCACTCCACAGGACCATGAGAAGGTAAACAATGCTGCCCGACTGCCTCCGTGTGCACAAATTCTTTTGACTCCTGTTTTTAGTTAACATGTGCAAGTCCTGGATTTTCAGAGTCCCTTTGGAAGTGGTGTTTACTCTTAGAACTCTTTATGATCTTGTTAACCTGAAGATTTATGGGTCAGTCCTAAAATCCTTAAATGGATGTATTTAAATGGAAGCTTATCTTACATTTCAGACTCATCTGCCAATAGCAGTTTTTGTGTGCAGGCCAGATAGACCTGGAAATCCAGATCTCTTTCTTCTCCCCCTTTCTACCTTCTCCCTGAAAAACAGTAGCAGATCCACTACAACTATATTTCTGTTTCTATATTTGACCATTGTGGGGAACTCATGTCTGCTGGAAGGGCTGAAACTTGAGAAAAGGAGAGACGTTCAAAATGATGAAAAACTGAAAACTTCCCAGGGCTCACAGATACCACTCTAGTCTGCAAGAACTTTGGGTTCCAAAGATGTCTGTTTTGAGTCTTCTAATCTTAGATATTGTTGTGCTTGTGCTTTTCATTATGCTTTTTCTCACCAGCTGCTATTGTTGTTTTTGTTTGTTTATTTGGTTTGGGTTGATTTGTGGAGGGCTGTTTTCTGTGTGTGAAATATCCTTTCTTTTTGACCAAAGCGGGTGTGGTGTTTTGTGGGGTTTTTAAAACTGCCATCATTAAAACTCACTACCTTTCTTTTTCTCTTCACAGGCTGCTTTGATCATGCAGGTTCTTCAACTGACTGCAGACCAGATCGCCATGCTGCCTCCCGAACAGAGGCAGAGTATCCTGATCTTAAAGGAACAAATACAGAAGTCCACTGGAGCACCTTGAAAGGTGAGCAGACTTACCTGGCCTGAGTCCGGCAAAAATTTTGTGCATTTGGGGTATATACTGCAACCCTAAGCAACAAGACTCTCCTGATACCAAGATTCTCTGCAGCCTGCTCCTCTTGGCAAGATTCTCTCCACCCTTCAGTAGGTCAGCTCCTGTCAGGACAACAGAAGGCTACAGAGCATTTGTTCAGCTATTGAATTAGGTGTAATCTTTTTTAACCTTTCTTTCCTAATGGCAAAGGAACATGCAATCAATTTAACCAAATTAATCAAATAGAGAAATATAAAAAATTCGGGATAAAAAGCTCTGCTTCCTTAATTTCGATTTCCAGACATAACCTTTATTTCTTCTTAATTTCTTTATTAAGGTATTACATATGTGTCCTCATCCCCCCATAGACTCCCCACCCCCTCACTCATGCTGGATACATTATTATTGTTATGTAATAGCAATTAGTAAATTACTGACAATACTGGTAAATTCAACAACCTTTTTTGGTGAAAGTCAGTATTTATAGAAAATTATGCCCAAGCCTACATTCTGTCTATGATTAGATTTATTTCGGTAGGGATTCTTTCTAGCTTTTAAAAATGTGCACTTGGTGTATGGGGTGGGGTCTTATTCTCTTTACTCTCAGGTTAGTAGTAAATGAGGGGTGATTTGGAGTCATGGGAAGTCAGGTTCATTCTATCATTTCCAGTCCGGGCTCCTGGCTCCTCTCTTGGAAAGTTTCTTAACCTCTCTGGGTGCCCCTCTTCTTACTTTTCTCTCTGCTCCCCCTGAGTGTGGGAATCACATTTCAACACTATACACATGCGAAATGACCTGATCTTGCTAGTTAAATATTTCGAAACTCCATACTGTCTTCCATAGTGGCTGCACCAGTCTGCGTTCCCACCAGCAGTGCACGAGGGTTCCTTTTTCTCCGCATCCTTGCCAGCAGTTGTCATTTGTTGATTTGTTGATGATAACCATTCTGACAGGTGTGAGATGGTACCTCATTGTCATTTTGATTTGCATCTCAGATAATTAGTAACTTTTGAGCAGACATAACCTTTAAATATAGTTTGGTATATATCCTTCCAGAATCAGTTGTGTTATTTTATTCCAAACTGTCCCATCAAAATGGGAAAAATACAAAGCATTTCAGTAAAATGTATAAATGTTTTAGTTTCCAGTATTTATTTTATATTAAATATTTAGAGATTGAACTATTACAGCACATAATTAAGGTAGTGAATTTCCACCGTCATCATCAGTCCCTATACATTTGAGAGATGGCTGTACATTGCTGCCCTTATTTTTCTTTCTCATCAGTCAAGTAAAAGAGATCATAACCATGTGACCTAACTTGATTACATGTATTGGTGTTTCCTTTAAAAAATATTTCCCCAACAACTTCTATTTCATAACTAATTCTGTTTTCTAAAAACAGTTTAAAATTCACATTGTCCCAATACCAGCTGGGATATCACATTTTGAATTTCTACTTTTTACCCCCTTCATATTATAATTTTCACCCATGTATCATCATATAATAGTGAACTCATTTACACTAATTAGCAGTCTTTGCTAAATACATTGTATTTTAATCTGTATTTGTAATATCATTAAAACATCTGGACTGGAAATAAACATCATATCTGTCATAGATGAACGCCTAGCTAGACTTTTGGTATGAGCAGTACTTTCTTTTATTTTTAATTTTTATTTAACTTATTTTTTTTTGTTAATCCTCACCCAAGACTAGTTTTCCATTGATTATTACAGTAGAAGGGAAAGAAAAGAGAGTGGGAAAGACAAAGAAATATCGCTATGTGTGAGACACATCAATTGATTGCCTCCTGCACACGCCCCATTTGGGACTGGGGGTCAAACCTGCAACTCAGGTACACGCCCTTAACTGGGAATGGAACCAATGACCCTTTGGTTCAAGAGACGACACTCTAACCACTGAGTGCACACTGGCCAGGGTAGTACTTTAATTTTGTAGTTTACATACCCAAGACATTCTTTTTTTTTTTTCAGTAAAAGTATAGAGTACCTATTGTATTCAGAGGAACAGATAAAAAGAACTTCCTCTCTTTTACTTTTCCTAATTTATTTATGCCAGAGAAGGCATTTCCTATAATGTGAGGAAATTATTATTTGGGGGTAATGGAGGTAGATATGTTTCTGAAAATTCGTTCATTATACTTATGAGATATCTCAATTCAAAGCCTTGCACATAAACCACAGGACAAGGTTTTTTTTGTTTACCTTTTATTTTTAAATAATTGTAAATTCACAGTAAGTTAGAAAAATAGTACCTTATGTACCCTTCCAGCTTTTTGGTCTGCAGTACAAAACCAAGAAGTCAACATTGGCACATTACTGCTAACTAGACTATAGATAGACCTTACTCAATTTAACCATTTTTTTAAAAGCTATATTGATTTCTGTGCATATAGTTCTATACAATTTATTTTTTGTCTTATTTATTTAAATTTATTTTAAATATATAAAATTTAAACATATACAAAAGTAGGGAGACTAGAATAATAAACTTCCAGGTACCAGCTTCAACATGATCAAGTCTTAGCCAATCGATCCTGTTTCCTCTTTTCCTTTACTCATGCTCCCCTGATACCCCAATCCAGGTTATATATATTTTTTGAATAACAACTTTACTGAAATATAATTCACATACTATACAAATTGCCTATTTAAAGCTTTTTATTCAATGTAGTCATAGAATTGCAATCATTACCACAATCAATTTTAAGACTTTTCATCACCCCAAAAAGAAACTCCATACCCTGTCCCCAGATTTATCTCTTCCCTCAGCTATAATCAACCACTAATCCATTTTCTGTTACTATAGATTTGCCTACTATGGATATTTCATTAAATGGAATCATACAATATGTTGTTTTTGTACCTGGTTCCTGTTATTTGTATAACTAGGGGCCCGGTGCACGAAATTTGTGCACTGGGTGTGGGGGGGAGTGTCCCTCAGCCCAGCCTGCCCCCTCTCACATACTGGGAGCCCTCAGGCGTTGACCCCCATCACCCTCCAATCGCAGGATCGGCCCCTTGCCCAGGCCTGAAGCCTCAGCCAGAGGCGTAGACCCCCATCACACACCGACCGCCTGATCGGCCCCTTGCCCAGGCCTGACGCCTCCGCCAGAGGCGTCAGGCTTGGACAGGGGACACCCAGC